AACTTATTTGTGAATATGCAAATCAGAGGGTATAATACTTTTCAAAACAAACTTGATTTCCATAACAACCTACGTTAACAAAGATTTTATTTAGTTTGTGGGTGTTATGATGCTTTATATTAAAAGCAGTGTTTTCAGAATTTGCGAGAATTTTTCCATACCTTTAACACATAAAATATAATATCTCTATAACTTAAATACTTTAATCGATTAGCGTAAATTTCAATAAATAAGCCGAAAATAAATAAAATTTGGGAATAAAAATGCAAACCGCGAAGTAATCTTGTTGCTGAGCCCGAAATCTGCGGATCAATATATGGCAAATCGCGATAAGGTACGGAACGAACTCAATTCCGAATTAACACGCACATGTCAAATTATTTATGTTGAATCCAGTTAAAGGATACGCCTAAATGTAGTCGTTAACAATAAATCAGTGAACGGAGCGACATATTTTTTCAATTAACTTAATTATAAATCCAATTAAAAATTAAACGATACAAATTTTTGATATCTTACTATGATCATGTCTTGCAAAATGCTAAATAAGCGAGTTAGGGGTGATAAAGATGATTTTTGCGAGTGCTGGAAGATCAGTTTTGTAATTGCTTCGCCATAAATTAAAGTTTTGTACAGTGCGTTCAATTTATCTTGATAACATTTTAATAACATTTTTGTTTTTGAGAGATATCAAGGTAAACAAAAAAGCAAAATATAGGATTAGTAGCCAAGTTTTTTCCAAGTGACGTATAAAACAAAACACTAACAATTTTCTGACATATAAGCCTACATAATATTTTTTAAATCGAACACCCTGTATGTTATATATGTGTTTAATAGAATATCTTATTCCGATCACAATGAAGTAACATACTTTATATTTTAAGAATATCTTATTCCGATCACAATGAAGTAACATACTTTATATTTTAATCCATTCGTTCGTCACAAATCGGCAAAAATTGGAAATTTGTATATAATGTTAAAGAGTGCTGTGACTAACTGCAACAACCATAATTATTTATAAATTAATGTAGAACAAAAACACTAAAAATTACAAAACACACTAAAGTAAAAAATTCTTTGGCTATTCTAAATACTGCTGTATGTGACCACTTTAATTGTATGATGTCTTGCATTGATTGCCTCTGAAATCCTTTGCCGTAGTTCCAAGACATTATTATAAGAAGTTCTGTGCACGTCATTTTTTATGTCCCCAAAGGAAAAAATCCATTAAAGTTAAGTCGGGGCTGTTGGCTGGCGAAATCCATAGTTCCGCCGTTCCCTATCCAATCCCTGGGATATTATTAAGAAAATTTTTAACTTGCACAACATTATGAGGCCTGGCACCGTCATGTTGCCATATAATCAGCGCTGATATTTTTACGAGTTAAACTTCTACATATTACTACAAAATATGCCCATCCATGGCACCACACCAAACATTAATTGATTGGTACCCCTACGTTTTCATTAAATGTATTTGTCTAGGATTATTTAAAGACCAACATCGCGTATTTTGTCTATTACAACAATTTCGAACTTTCATCAGTCCATAAAATGTTTTTCAAAAAACTGCATTCTCCTTTGACACTGTACTGTACTTAATTTTTGAGTTTTACGATATTTAAAAATAAAATTTAAAAATATATGATGCAGGCTTATATGTCAGAAAATTGATAGCGTTTTGTTTTATAAGTCACTTGGAAAAAACTAATAAAAAGCTACTACCCAACATTTTGTTTTTTTTGTTTACATTGATATCTCTAAAAAGAGAAAAGTTGCAGCTAATTAAAATGTTATCAATATAAATTGAACGCACGGTACAATATGTTTTCCTATCACATTACAAAAACATTTATTTTATGGCAAACGGTATATTCTGATAAAGCAAGAGAAGCGTACCTATATTGGTTAGAAATATTGGCGATAGTAAGGTACCCAGGCAGACGAAGCGCATATCTAAGCTAAGATAACACCTCGCTAATTTCTCCCTAAAAGCATTATATATTCGCTTGTTATATTGTAAAAGTGTTCTCAATTATTTCAACCTTTGTACAAGCTGGTGCAAACAAAACTTTATTTCGCATTTTGTGTTAATAAATGTTTTTAAAAACGCTCTCCCAAATCCGTTACATTTAAGTCAACAATTTGTCAACAAAAATTGTACAAATATTGCAGAAAAAAAAAGCTTTGTGTACCCGATACACTCCTATCGAGACTATTATCTTCAGTCGTAAATAAAACGAATATTTTTCAGGGTTCGATATTAAGCTAGTTTGAGAAACATTGTTTATGGCATACTCATATGATTTTTTTTTCACTTCACTCGAAAATATCGAAATTATTAGGAGGTAGTATGTTGTTAAAATGTTGGTAAAATTAATTCTTAGTCGTTCCGTATTAATAAGTGCAATATAAAATATAAAAATATGCCATTAAGCCGTTACGAGCGTATTTACAACTACAACTTTGACGAGATTATCCAAACTCCATTTTCTCTCAACAATTCGCGTCCAACTGCTAAATTGTCTGTTCAACGGAACGTTATCAGTTGGTAAATCCGGATTTCCACATTGGTATTATACAATGTATTTGGGCGAATTGGTGTATACTGCCCTTACAGGAAAATACATTTTCTCTTTCAAAATCAAGATGATTACGAAACTATCTTTAATTTCGAAGCGCACAACAAGTCTGTATGAGGTGAATTGCTTTTAAGTTTTATTCCATCTCGTCCAGTAGGAAATTTCTTTGAAAAATACTGTAGTAAGCGACAATAATTTTTTTTTTATATATTTTGCTTTACTGTCACCTTCTGATGTTTTATGACAACTTTTTGAAATAACCTATTCATATTGCGACAGATGAAACTGCACTTTACAAAAATTGGTCGAATCGTACATCGACTCCAATCTCTTTGGAGGTATCGGAGAAAATCCTTAAGTAAAGTAACGTTTTATTGATGTTTTCAAATACAAAGTATTTTATCACACGTCATATTTTTTTATTAATTTAGAGCCATCCCAATGTTTATTAATCACATTTAAATTGCTTATAATATACAAAATGTGTCAAGTAAGAAATCTATGGTTACATTTTGATACATCTCTACCTACTGATGTTTCCAAATACAAAGTATTTTATCATAAGTCATATTCCATTTTATTAATTTAATTTAATAAATTAATATCCATTAATCACATTGAAATTGTATACACACACATATGTATATATATATATATATATATATATATATATATATATATATATATATATATATATATATATATATATATATATATATATATATATATATGTATATATATATAATGTCATGCAAGAAATATAAGGATACATTTTGTCACATCTCTACGTTTTAAGCTGCATATCAATAAATGCATACAGAGAGCAATTTCTTTCTAAAGAACTAAATCCACTTTATCTGACTCTTTAGTACAGATCCGGTTTAACTTCTGTGACATAGTTTATGGACCATGTTTGGATAAAATAGGTAGAGACAGAATGGAGAGTGTAATCTTTAGTTACAAATTCTACATAATATACGCAGAAGCATGCCAATAACACATAAGTTACGGGCAACTAAATCGTTATCGATGGAAAAACAGCGTATATTGCATTCTGCGGTTTTGTTCCAAAGTAATATTTATAATGAACGTCTCTTTTATCTGGTAAATAAATACAGAACCGAATTTAAGACTTCACGGTTACATCTCGCCTCCTCCTCACTATACCGGGCTTTATGAAAGATCGTTTTCATATAACGTGTAAATACTACACAACATCGTTCCTATACAATTTAGATGTTTTAACGTCATATCTTAAAAAAAAAATCAGTACCTGGATGATGGGCAGTGCGGTGGATTTTTCATTTTTATTTTCCCTATTTCCCTATTTCCCTATCACTTATGTTGTTCATTCAAAATCTAACATTAGTATTCTAATACCTAGTACCTCTTATTTCTAGATATATAATTTTGCGGAAGTTTTTTTTCTCGATTAGTTTTGGGGCTGACCTTTGACCAGTTATAAATTGCCTTCAGTCCTTTTTTGCGGATAATTATATATAATTTAAACATATATATATTTTGAAATAAATAAGAACTAAAAGTTCAGTTCTGAACTTTTAGTTCTATTTATTTTGATAAATGGATTTTCATCAAGTAAAAGCCACCTCAGTTCAATTGATATTTTGGGTAATTTATTATTTATTATTATTATTATTATTATTATTATTATTATTATTATTATTATTATTATTGATCGATGATACATATACTTGTTCACACTGTTTAAGTAAGTTTTCACTATATAGAAAACAAAAATTAATAAAGAACGTTTTAATTTTTAATTTGAAAGCATTTAATTCTATTTGTTTAATATTATTTTGTAACTCGAAGAATTTAGGAATAGTTTATTCTATACCGAGATCTCTCAAATCTCAGAAATTCACGATTTTTCATTGACACTCTTATTATAATTCTTGCATAGTTACCTAAATGTTTTTTATATAAACTAAGCCATCTAATATATATCTGCATATATATCTAATATCTATTATTTTTATTTTTTATTTTATTAAAGTGTTCTTTTACGTTAAACGCTACATGTTAACTGTTCGAATATTCTTATTACTCTGTAATGCAAAGATTCCGTTTGCAAGAGGAGAAGGAGAGAACAGCAAATATAAATGTGTATCGACATCGGTGTTTCAAGCAATGGCCATCGTTCTATCCAGAACATCTGCATGGTATATAGCAATAGCATTGGTAAATTATAAATTTATTATACACAACCTTTTCAAACATAAGTTTTCATGTCAGCTATGAAAATAGATATTTCTAAAAATAAGTTAGTCGAAAAAATATTTTCGTAAAGCAGTAAGCGCAAGATAAGTGTCCTTACGTAGTCAATCCCATTAGGTGGATTATTCAATTATCGATTGGTGAGAGCATTAGTTCCCAAACTAAAACACTTACCGCCCTGTCGGATTCGTCTGTCCTCTGCCTGGGCTCGATGTATGTGGTGGGGTGCCGGACTTTTTGTCTGCAAGCGTTGTGGCGCCTCAGCTTATTGTAGCCGACCCCACCGCCGACACCATCGTTTACGTACACATTTCCGGTTGTCGGTGAATCGTCAGCATTAAAGCTCGGTGGTCGCCCACGACGGCTGAAGGCAAACGGAAATGAATATTAATAAGATTTAATGCTAAAATAATAAGGCTCAATGTAGCGTTTTTAAATTCTGTTTTGAAAATGTCGGGAAGATCGGGTCATTACCTAATAATCGAGACAACAAAATTAAGGGCACTGTTACTGCAGTCCCAAATGGTTGATTATAAGATATGGCATGAAGCTGGAATTCTTTACGAATTTTGCCAATAGAGTAAATGGATTTCGAGAAAATACTTGTTTTCTGAAATCATGCAGTACGTCGTAATAGTAAATGACGTCATCGCGTCCAGATTGAGGGTAAAAAATGATGATTTTCGTTTTGATTTTTTCAAATATGTCTTACAGTGTATGTGATAGACGAAAACCGTAAATAAGAAAATTGTAGCTCTCGATGTGGCCTATGATACTAAGTCTGATCAAAGCAATTTTTTACTGGTTTATGTGTCTTGTGGGTTGTTTAAAATGAGCCAAATTGAACGCCGTATCTCAGACGGTTCGATAATTATGGCGATTTAATAGACAGAGAAACGGAGAACGGAGAAAATAAAAAAATGTTTTTCGACGCTGATCATTTCTGTACCAATGGCGGTGGCCGTCGTCGGAATATGAGTTTCGTTGCCACACGCGTATACTTTCGAAAAATTCCATTTCATAGATTTTTCGAAAGTAACTAACCCCTGGGGGCCACAAGTATACGATTTTTCAAAATTTTTGATTTAAAAAAAAACACTAATAAAACAAATGACGATACAAGTCCGGATTTGACAAATAATAAAACAGAAACCATGGCACGTGATTAAAATATAATTTGCACCCGGTATAGAACGTTTTATTCTAAATCACAAAAATATTCTAATGTATATAATACACGCAAGGACCATCGTCATTTTAAGTATGTAAATCCGATGCTAGAATAAAAATGACACACACCCACATAACAGTAATCTAATGAATTACAATGGTGTTATAAATGCGCAGTTATATCGCTATGATTTGTAGTTATAATCTAATGAATTTGTTTATTAATGCACAATCGTCACAAACTTTTGAATAAATATATTATTAAATATTAAATAAAGAATATTAGTTGCTGCAGTAAATCTAATACTATTTCGGTTAATGTCATTGTCGTTTTATAAAAGGTACTCTTAGTTTTCATAAAACATACAAGAAATAAAAATACACTTAAAAAATCAGTAAACTCGATTACCTAAAACGATTGAAAAAATAAATAGATAATTGAGATGGAATGCATTGAACATGCAAACAACAGACGTTGAACTAATTCTTCCATATGAAAATACGCGAACTTTGTACAAAATATTGTTAAACAAACAATTTTAATATAATTATGCCGTTGAGCTCGAGAAAGCTTAAACTCGCTATTCGCTAATGCGATTGTTACGGAGATAATAATTATTGTATTAAGTCGTGTTACATGACTCACACATCCAAAAAGGAAAAGAAGTAGGTATTTGTCTAAAGGTTATAACTTTTAATAAACAGAATGACTCATGTTAGGTGATGAAAGCAAAAGAAAACTGATTCACATACAACACATACCGTACCCACAGGCATATAACTTAGAACTACTATTAGACTAGTCAATAAATAACCAAAATTAAATTGTCTTGAATTTTGTAGGCACACAAAAAAAGTGAATACTGGCATAAACACTTTAACACTTTAATTTAATAAATTAAAATGCAATAATATACATAACAAAAGGAAGTCAGTTGTCGCATTAAAAAAGAATAAATATAACATATCAAGAACTGAGTGACTGCTATTGTAAATTTTGGTTGCAGTTATGGGAGGCTGTGGTTTATATTTAATATTGTCGCGACAACTGCGTAAAAGTCATAACGAATTTATATCACGTGTAATTCTTCCTTTATTGCCAAAATTGGCATACCAATTACTTGCAGATGTTTCAAAAAAAATTAAAAACATGAATTCTTCAAAAGTAAAAATTTTTAAATAAGAGGTTACATAAGAAAAAACTATATCGAACTTATATTTTTCGAATAATTGGAAAACTGCTTCCGTTTAGATATATAATACAATACGAGAAAGTTGTTCGAATTAAAAATTTTGACTTTGACTTGAGAAATTAAAATAATTTTTAAAATTAAATATTAACATTTACCATTAAGGTAAACGTTTTTTAAATTGTAAGGAAATTTATTACAATTTAAAAATAGAAATAACAATATACCCCTGCTACTTCGTTTATTAAAATTCATTTATTCATTATGAATACTAATAATTATCAAATAAAAATATATATTTTATCAATATTCGAACTGCACTGATTAATGACATACCTCGTCAATTATTTTAACATCCAAGAGATTATTTATATTTATATTTATATTTCTTTCTCATTGGTCAAGTTTTGCATTTTAGGAGTTCGTCACTTTATTAAGTTGGTAATGGCTCCCAATTAAAATTAATCGCACCATATCAAAACTGTCCGTGAGATAATCTCAAACGTTTCGTTAGCAAAACGTGATGCCTAAATCGAATGGGAAAACAGAAAATCCCAATTTCTTCTCCAGTGTTATCCCCATTCAATCTCCGGTTCGTTCCCCCGGTTCCTTCTTTTATGACCCTTGGCCGTCTTCTCAAGTGAACTCTCGTGACACTCCCTCCGCGACTTTTCGTCAACGATGCATTGTCTTGACTTTTTTTTATACAGCGCCTTTGCTCGGAGGCGGTTAAAGACTTCGACAGTTCTGCGGGTTGGTTAAATTTAGGGACGCTTTGACGGTGTGAACTAGCCCTAACCCTAACACAGATACCAAAAACAAATTCGAAAAATGAAATCAGCTTTATCCTTCCTTTCTGATTTTAGACCTACATAAAGTTCAATTTAATTACATTATTGTCTCACCAATGGCGGGTAAGCAAAAAAATTGTCTACGATTTTGTAATATCCGGTGGTATCTTTCGATTTAATTTTTTTTTTAGTTTTCCACATTCTTTATGCTCTTGAAGGGTTTCGTTATAGTAAATTTGTGGTTTCTAAAATATCGTTTTAATCCTTCATAACAATAAAACAACAATTCAAACTATGTTGAAAATTTAACGGAAAATCTAAATGGTTATTTATGAGAACTTCTAAAAGTCAAAAATTTCAAAATATGTCAATAAATATATCTAGACACTGTTAGATTGTTTATTGCTAATTGAAAAAGCAATAAAAAATAACATACATTCTTAGGCAGAGTTCTTATCTTAGCATCATAAAACTTTTACAAAGTATAAATGATAAAACGGTATAGTTCAGAAACAGAAACAGAGACTACGTGATAATATAAACAGATGCGCACAAAGCAAATTAAGCCTTTACGTTAGATTTATTTCAGACTCTTCAACTTTTGATCATGGCTGGTGGATGCGAACCTTTCTGTAGATCACAGGCTTGGGGAAACCATCGAATGCGAAAACCTTGTTTGATATATAGTATACTAAGCAACAAGTTTGATAAACGCTACTTTAGACACGAGTTTGATTTGGAACGTGCTATACTTTTCCTTTTTTATTTTTACGAAACATAATTTTTTACGACAATCAGTTTCTGAGTACATTTTAACAAAACAGTACGAATACAGTCAGTGAGTGACGTGTGATAGCTCCAATGGCTCCTATACGCGTGATGCATATACCAGAAATATAATAGAGAGGTCATGAATAACGAAGCCATACAACATAGTTTTTAAATGAGTGTCGATATGGTGTGAATCCTTGATTTTGTTCTAAACCAAAAAAGAGTTCCACACATAGTAAGTGCATACCAAAATTGAACAATATGTCAAAAGCAGTTTCAATATATATATATATATATATATATATATATATATATATATATATATATATATATATATATATATATATATATATATATATATATATATATATATATATATATATATATATATATATATATATATATATATATATATATATATATATATATATTGTTAAACGGAAAAAGCGCTTCGCACGAAAGTAATGAATCAAATTTGCTCCAGAAGATGGGATAATTTTTATAAAATGCAGTGGCCTGCCATTTTTTTTCTTCATAAATATTCAGTTCGGACTTCACTGAGACAAAAAAAAAACAATATTTTACATCAATGTGCTTACAATATTTCATAAAAATATCTGCATTGGTAAGAAAATTATAATAACATGATTATATTTTCTTAAAACTTTAGCTAGAATGTGTTGAGGTTAAAAATTAAGAAAATATATAAATATAACATATAAAGAACTGAGTGACTGCTTATTATTATATTAACTTTTCTTCTTAAACACCTTCCCACTCAATTCATAATTCCTTGTATAAAAAAATAATAAATTATTTATTTTTTTATATTCACCAAATCTTTTGCATGCAATACTTCTTCTACGACCATTAGTTTTTGGGTACAAACAACACGAATACATTCACTGACCTGACAGCCAGAACTGATATTACTCCCAGATATGTTGAAAATGTCTGAAGTGACTTGCAGCGGCGGCAAATGAAACTGACGTCGTAAAATGACACTTTTCGAATGCTATAATTGGGTATTTTCCAGAAGGGAGTGGAAAAAGGTATTTTCGGATAAAACTGCGACCTAGTAAAGTTGTCCGGAAACAATAATATTCTGACCAACCAGCCGAATAAATTGAGCCCGGCCCTGTTTGCGTTCCAAACCTCTTGTCGGGAAGCAACTCGAATGTTCGACCCCTATCGCGAGAAAGCGTCTTATAAAAGCGAAGCACCGCTCGCTGAACAATCAGTCGAACACAGAAACCGTGCAAAGCGGAAATATAAATAGTCAATGAATATATAAAAAACATAAATTATTAGTAGTGTCTATAGTGAGCAGTGTGTAAATAGTGACTTCAGTATTTCGGACGAAATAAATTTAAAGTTCCGTTAAGTATGGTCAGTGACTTGTTAAATTTCAACATCGCGTTTGACGAACCCGAACGAATTTTGTCGATATAAAACGTGGTATGGTGTTTCCGCCAAAGTGATATGAAATCAACGACAGAATTGGCCTTGTAGAAAGTTTAGTTTCTCCGTCTTACAGTCTGTACTAGATTTGATGAAATACCATTTCATGTTAAAACAGTTACTGTTCACTATCCGTGGAAGGAAGTCGTGAAACTTTGTTGATAGGTTACGGGCGGCAAAAAATCCCGGAAGTGCAATTAGCAAACTTCATACCCCAGTTAATTTTTTCAATGCATGTATGAGATGCCGGAATAGCCTATTTGTAATAAAAAAATAATAATGTCGAAAAGATTGAACCCAATGAAACCGAATTAGCCATTTAATTTCTATTAAAGGCGCGTATTTTGGTAATAACTCATTTTTAGTGGGTCGTTATGCGGGCTATGCCGACTAAAATACGTCCAGCTTTTGCAGCACGAGTTTTGAGTTGAATTTTTCTTGCGACCAAAGGCAAGAAAACTGGTTGGGATAAATATATATTGGGCGTAATATAAATGGAATGCCATATTTTTCGGTTGTAAAATGACAAAATGTTATTAATTAGAATAAACTGATAATAGTATATTATGCAACAAGTGCGGTAAATGGAATTTGACTCACGAGTGTTTAACAAACGAGTGACTTAAAAAGTTTACTGAACGTGTTGCATACTATACTTTTTCTACGGCCGTTAGTTTTTGGTTACATTTTCGCAAAACAACACGAATACATTCACTGACATGACCGTCAGAATTGACAAACGTCAAAATTCAAAGCGTTGGAAATATCTCCGAAAACATCCGATCGCTGCGGTAAAATCCCGAAAATGTCCGAAGTGGTTTGGATTCATGCGAAAGGAAACTGGCGTGACTTTTTTCTACTCCCGTCTGTAAAATGCCCACCGATCTAGCGTGCGGGAAGCGTCACTTTGCCACGTCAGTTTCGTTTCCCACGGATAAGAGCCACTTCGGACATTTCCGGGATTTTACCGCACGGGTTTGGGAGCCATCGGATGTTTTCGGAGATATTTCCCACGCCTTGAATTGTCAATTGTCAATTGTCAATTCTTACATCATGTCAGTGAATGCATTCGTGTTGTTTTGCGAAAATGTACACACAAACTAACGGTTGTAGAAATAGTATATTATGCAGCAAGTGCTGTAAACGGCATTTGACTCACGAGTTTATTTGACACAAGCGGAGCGAGTTTTTAATAAACGAGTGAGTTAAAAAGTTTACCGAACGTGTTGCATATTATACTTTTTCTACGACCGTTAGTTTTTGGGTACATTTTCGTAAAACAACACGAATACATTCACTGACATGACCGTCAGAATTGACAAACGTCAAAATTTAAGGCGTGGCAAATATCTCCGAAAACATCCGAATGCTCCCAAATGTCCGAAGTATCTCGGATTCGTTGAAAACAAAACTGACGTGGTAAAGTGACGTTTCCCGCACCCTAGATCGATGTGTAGTTAGGTATTTTACAGACGGGAGTAGAAAAATAATATTTCAAATTTACTAGTGTAATATACTATAATTTATATAAATTTTATAAATAGAATAACAATTAAAGCCTCCCATCATGAATCATTTTCATACTAAAACCCACAGAATTCCTTTTCATATATATTCACATATAAACTAAATTTAATCAGGAAGATATGCGGAACAAAAAGCATCAATTACGAAATTCGGGTTCCAAAAAAATGAATGAGACGAATATCACGGCAGATTTAAACCAACCCATTAGAGAAAACGAATTTCATAACTCTCCCCCAAAAATTGCTTGGCCTGTATAATTAACCTAAGAACTTTAATTTATCAATCTAGAAAAGTAATGTATAAACTTTAAAAAAAGAAATCTAGTAATAATTAAACCCTCGTAATTAAATTAATTCGACGTAATTTGTAGAGAAAACTTACAAGCAAATAACAGTAAATTATATATGAATGAAAAAGAAAAGAGTTGAATTTAAGAATTGCTTCTGTATATCAATACTTTCTTTGCAGTTTTCGTTTTGTGGAATAGTGGTTCAAGCGTTAAAGTTTTAATATGTATTCCCAGCAGGTACAAAAAATCTGGCCGCTTTTGGAAGCATTATTAAACCGGTGATTGATCCACACTTTTCGTCACAATTATATTCATTTTATGATTCAAGCCGTTTATTTAAATTTAAAAATGTCCATGCCTTAGCTGACTAAAAATGAATAATTGCGTCATTATCGATTCTAGCTTTTTTTCTGTCGTTACAAAATATTTCAAAAACATTATCTTTATAATAAACGATAATTAAAGGAACATAGCGAAAATGAGATGGGAAACTGATCTCGTCACTGGGCTGTTTTCCATTGAACGAGACTCTGAAAAATCGTATACAGGGTGATGTAAAGTAACTGACCTATTTGACAGTCATGGATACATGGAATCGTTCTGAATATTACTTAATTATTAAGTAGTGATGCTTTGTTAATCGATATTCTGTTCTGTATTATATATACAACGCATATTACTTTTATCATTATACAAAATAGAATTAGGAAACCCAACAATTTGAAGTTTGAAGAAATAAGAGTGCGTAGAGAGAATTTGAAACTTCATAATGCATCTTTTCAAATTGCTAGAAGATATTATATGAAATGATAAACCTTAAAACTTTTTCCGTGTTAATAGTTTATTTTTTTAGGACAACAATTTTCAAGAAAATGTCGTTTCCTATATAGGCACACACCTATTCTATACAATAACAACGTTTAGTTTATAAATTGTTGTGTTTTAATGGATGGAAAACATATGGTGTGTATATACGGAACAAGATGAATGAAAAAACTTTAAAAGCATTTTGTAACCCTATCATAAAGAGAATAATTACAGCACTTCAGTAATTTCTTCCAATTACACATCTTCAATATTTTACAAATTCAGTGGGCAAAAAACGATACTCACCAAATAGATGCCGAGCAGCTTCCCGACAATTTCTCCTCATTTTCTTTAGATTCATGTCGAAGACTAGGAAGTGAGACCGTGGACGGTTCTTTGGATATGCCTATTTAAGAAAGCGGCAGGTTAAAATATTTGCTTCTGCAATATAATTAAGCTACTTCACCACTCACTTGAGTTGGAGCCCAGACTAAATCTGCATTCCGGCGTAACAGATGTATGGCGCTGGAAGTTTCTCACTGGATGGAGCGATCTCTGTAAATAAGTTAAAATATACAGCTCTAAAAGCATTAAAATAAATGTGCTGCCATGACAAACCTTGTACTCAAAATAATTTGATACCCGAAGTCCAATTCTTATAAAGAATAAAATCAATGAATATTTGCAATTATTTGTTTCTTTTCGTTTCCTTCCATAATCATTTCTGATTTGACCAACCAGAGCAGTTATAAGTTTAATTTAATCCAATTCATATTTGAATTTTAAAGTGGCGTGCACAACAAGCAAAGGTTAATAATCAAATTACAAAAAAAATACAAGAATTCGATTATAAAAAACTTATTACAAACTTGTTACAAAAGAACGATTCTTCTCGACAAAATATGTTCGGAACTTTGTAATTGATAGTTACAGCTGTTTTTTATAATTTTCTGTTGCATTTTTCTGCTTTGCCAAGTATTAAAGATCTATAGAAATTGTTATTTGTTTTTGTAGCAACGTGTCAACACTTTTTGAGTATCACATTAAATATTATAAATTATATTATAAATTAATTTATAAATATTATAAATTAATTAATTAATAAATTAAATATTATAAATTAATGAAATAATTTGAACTTAATTTATTTTTTTTTAAACTAGAAATTTAATGTTTCAGTAAGATTAACAGGAAAATTACTTCACCATACAATTGAAATATTAGCCAAAAAAATAGTGTGATGTTGAGGTAAAAAAATGCCTCTAGAGGGAACGTGAAATACGCTTGCGATTTGTACTGGTTGACATGGGTAAAAGTTGGGGAAAATCTATTTCTTTTGCGAAATGTTTTTTAGGGACCGATGAATATTTTAGAAGAAATGGAATACAACTCAGGCAAACTTAAAATTAGTTGCAAATCTTAATAAGACAGCAACGGTAAAGGTTAGGACAGGCATTCATAAGATTTTTTCTAATTGACACACATGCGGAAGGGGCTAAAAAAGGGACAAAAAGTATCATTTTTTTAGAGAACTCTTTTATGATAGATGTGTTAGAACCATTGAGTATTGATACTAATGCCCGGGCGCACCTAGAAACATTTTGTTTAAAAACAATTTTTAAATCCATTTCTAAAACGTTTTGGAAATATTTACGATTTATATCAGCAGCATTTCAAGACATTCCTCAATATAAGATGTTGTCGTTCTAAGAAAATTTAGTAACCCACTAGTATATTTCAGTTTAAAATCTGCCATTAAATTGTCCCCACAATAGAAACTTTATTCAAGAAACTCTCTCTACCACTAACGTGTAGTTTCTTTTTGCCTTACAATTAAAATACATGTTGCTCGCACAAATTCATGATACTTTCTGTCGTACTGATGCGTGGAAACGAAAGAATGTTTCAAAGTTGTTTCAAAAGCGTTTGATACAAGTTTAAAAATATTTTTTCAAATACAGTTTCGAAATAGTTTTCATATTTTACTTCGAGGTATGCACTAGGCTTCAGAATGCATAAAGCACACAATGTCAATCACGAGTGCCTTAGTTTTCACCGATTTCTCGAAAATGCCTTTTGCCTTTTCTGCATGTACGTATTGGATTTCATTAAAGCGATAACAATCAATAACCAAACTATTTTCGAGCACACCCACTATTAAAAACAGCTAACATATTCGTTCATTCATTCTACTTAAAAATCACTCAATCATCTGACGTCATAATGTTATTTTAGCAAGATAAATACGTAACTGATGATACCACCAACATCGAAAAAATTAATTATAAAGTAGCCTTCGCGTTTTACGGTGTGTATATCCTTGCGACAACATAGCGATGTTTCCAACATGCTTTCATCGGCAAAAACATTCGCCAAATTTATCGTCACTGCGAAATCGCACACCTTCACGTCGTTTCGCAAATTTCCCGTGTTGCCACGGTTTCCAATAAAAACTTTTGCGAATCTCTAACAAAACGTGGGACGGTCGTGAACGGCGACGAAGAAACCTCTTATTTTAAACTGACGCAGTGACTGTCCGGAAGAACGGTTTAAATGTCTCCAGCCTGGTGGATTACTTACAAAAAGAGAAATGATGAAGTTGGGACCTTCTTTCTGATAGTGACAAAAAAGCACTTACCATAATGGGTCCGCCCGCCATCGAAATGGCGGGGAAAGATTCGTGATTTGTTCTGTAGTTCGGAGCGTATTCGGGAAAAACTTACAGTTAGAAGGGAAAATAACACAAAATATTACCAGTATAACTCAAAACTGCAGATACTCAGTAATCGCAACATATTTTGTAAATGTTATACGAAAAAAAATTAAAAATAACTTATAAAATAAGATAAAACAAAGATATATGTATTTCGGTTGGTAATAAGTATAGAGCCTTGCGATTTCGCAAACCTTTGGTACTTTTTTGTGAAACGAAAGATGACGTTAACAGACTCGATTCTTCTATTATTTGTGCTCCTTAGATTTCAAGGAACCTAATTCAATGCTGGAACACTACTGAGGACGAAATTGTACTCTGGATAATCGAAATGTTACCCAATATTCCTCCGGTACGATGTTGCGTGAGCACTTGGCTTGGAACGCTCACGTAAACCACCAATTGATTAATTAAGTTAGGTGGTTGACTGGTAATTTTTTATTCACTTATAAACATTTATTCGTTAGAAAGTTGCTAGCTGAGAACAGTCAAATTATGCTAATAATATTAAAAGGTGAAATGGTAACACGCATACTGTGTACGCGACGTCATTCATTCAGGAACATTCTAGAATTTAGTACAACATGGTTGAAAGCAAGGCATCAAAAAAGTTCATCCCGTTCGATTTGTTGCACAAAATAGGCACTAAAGTGTTTCTTCTATCATTTCCAATTTCCAATGTTTTTCGAAAAAATTCAATCACGATTTGCAGGGAATTCGAAATGATTTCTTGAGCAAGTCGCCTCTCGGAATACCCATAATACATGTGAGTCTGATGGGTGATTTTGTGGGGCCAAAATATTAGACTCTATATTCTGTTTCTTAATGCGAGAGAGTTACTGATCATTATTGAACTGTAAAATGTAGTGGTCTGAGACCTAGTCCATAGGGGTAGTATTGTGAGATTGGTAGGTAGACGGACGTACCTGTGCCTTAGTCTAAAAATTAGAATTACAGTTGGTTGTTTTTTCTGAATTTGTTGCTGTATTGAATTATGACTGAAGTTGAACAGTTAATAATATTCCGACTTCAGCACGAAGATAAGAGCGTCCCCATCAGGTCCCCAAAGAGAATTACAGGAAGTAAAGAAATCAATAAAAGATGATGAAAAACCTTGAACCTGAAAAAAAAAACAGAAAAAAATGGAATTATTAGATTACTTCAAATGAGAAGAATTCCAAGAAATATATGATAAAAAAGGCTAATAGAATTATAATTTAGAATAAAACTCTTCGTATTTATTGTCGACGAAATCGCTTCAAAACGAAATATAACGGTACTTCGCGTTCCGCTATGTCACTGTGAAAAAGGGTTTCTAGGCTTTTAATATCGGGAACGTTGATACTATCTTGAAAGAGGGAATAAAACTGGTGGATTGTGAAAAGTGGAGTAAATGCGTCGAACATGTGGCTGAAATAGAAGAAATTTCATGTGAATGAAAGAAATAGCCATTAATATGTCTAGTGTTCTTTACGGCGAGACTGCATACGCATTATCGTTAAAAAAAAAATAGGCAACCAACTGAAAAAACTGTAAATTGAGTTTCCATATATCTGAAGATATACTTATAAAAAAGTTTCTATAAGTCGCACCCAATATGCACACATTGCTAAAATTCGTGACGAGGATATAATAAAATTGGTTTACCTTTAGCACAATTCTTTCTTATACAAGCCGAAGCAAGAGTAAAAAAAAACAATTTACTACAAGATGGCAGCATTTTTCTTTCGCTAGAATTATTGGTGGGTGATGTCGGACAAAAGATAAAACCCCAAATTTTTAGTAATAAATTATATTGTATTATATATTACAAGGTGGTGCAAAGATACGTTTCAAAAATATCGAGAACACGATATCCAAATCTTAGCGCATTTTTTCTTTTTCCATAACAAATGAACTTGTCATCGGCATAAACTTCTATAATTCCCAACGAAAAATCCAAGTCAATTCAGAGTAACAAAAAGGGAAATTCCATAACCAGGAACTGACTCGTGTGGAAATTGAATAATTGTTTGGGATAATATAACCCCACAAAACGAGTAGAAGAGTGACACATCCACAACAAATAACGACACATTCTCGTTGGTGATTAACAAGGAAGTCAAGGTTTACTTATTTATTACAGGACAGCCCCATTAATAGCCACGAAAAAAAATCAGCTTAACCTTAACAATAAATTTCGCGATGACAGTTATTTTTTATGTGTATCCGTGGGAGAGAAAAAGTCACAGTCTGTTCGTTTAAATTGGATACAAAAGTGATAAAATCGCTTAAAAAATTAAACTTAAAAACAATCTAACAAAAATTGCACTGCAGGCTTTCGCATAACAGTTTGACTGAAGACTTAAGACAATTTTAATTTTTTTCCTTAACTCATATTTAAAATATATAGAATATAATCAACCTGTATAAAGAAAATTATTAAATTCGAGTTTATACTTGAAACTAAATTCGCTCATTAATGCGGAATATAATGGGTACTTCATGAAATGCACCGATTATAAATAAAGCCATACATTAGTGAATGAAATTGCGTTCTCCAAAAACACTGCAATTTCACGTGCTCTTAGACACGAATTCATAAATTACGAAATATATTTACAAACACTCGGAACAACAACCGATTTAACTTCGACCGAGACTTGGGCGAAACGCATTTAGGAGACCAAGGTTTTCCAGTTAAAAATAAACATGGCGACGAAAGACTTTCCTAAAGTAACACTATTTATAATGCACACAAGGAATAATTATTGAAACTCCCATGCGTGGCTACGTTAAATTTTAGGTGTTTGTGTTTTTGTCGCATGTGTTACATATTTCAAAATAAATAAACTAAATTAACCCCTTAATGCAATTTTTTAAAATCAATTTAGGTACAAAAAATATCGTTTATGTTTTTTGCCATAATTATTATTTATCCTTATTTTAACTAATTTATGCAAAAAAAATTATTAATTTTCTAATTTTTTTCCCCATGCTGTATTTTCTATAAAGTACAGTCTTTTTTTCAATTGGAGCAATAAAGTCAGGAAAAATGTCGTTCCTTTAGTGGTGATGGTCCCATAGGATTTTGTCGCCCTGCCTTGTTGATGTTTGTACTCAAGTGATATTTTTCTATCATTTCCTCTATCAGTTTTGTTCTGTACAAATTTTCTTCGCAGTAAGGACATTTTCGGGATTGTGAATTGTCAACGAGAGACAAATTTCTGTTGAACCGCAGAGTACCATATAAATCAGTCTTTTTGGATACAAGAAAATCTGTTAGTAATGGGGACGTGTAAAAATTGTCCGTAATAACACAATATCCCATATCTGTGAAGTCACAGGCATGTCTTTATATTTCTGGGATATTATAGTTCCTTTTCAGGAATAAATAATAAAAGAATACAAATACTCTGTTTTAGATTCGCAAAGCCTGTAGATTGTTATCCCAAAACGAGATCGTTTTTCAGGGATGTACTGGATCCAATCCAATTGTCCTTTGTACATTAACTAACTTTCATCTACACTTGTGTCTCGTTCAGGTATATAAAATGAATTAAATTTTCAATTTAGAGCTTCATAAATAAGCCAAATTTTGATTACTTTCGGATTCAGATGGATATGACAGTCATATGATTTATTATCAGAAAAATGTTAGTTTTGGAAATACTGGAGTAGCAAAGATGTCTTTAATTGTCCAGTACATTCTTTCCTCTGGCTCTTTAGTATTCCAAGAATTATATTTATCAATAAAAATATTTTTGTTTTCCCTGTTTTTCTAGGCTTCAGACGATCTTCGTGGTTGTTCTGCATAGCGATTAAATTCGGTGACCAATAAGTTTATCGTTCAAGAAGCTGCAGAATTCTGTCGGTAAACGTTGCCCGTATTAGTCACGGAGGTGTGCTAAGTAAGTAAACACGTGCCGCATCAAACTCAGTCTCAAAATTCATCATAAAACTCGTTACTTGAGATTTCAATATAAAATTAATAAAGGGTAATGTATAAATTTTCAAATAACCTTCGCGACTGTTACAAAAATTCCTTAGCACGCGCAATGTAAGTGCTTTTATTTGAACCCAAGTGGTGGATGACTTGAAATTTTACTTGTCTATACCCAAAGAAAGCTTCCGGCATACTAAAAAGCAGCTACAGTTAAGACTTAACGCTTTCTTTAGTATTTTACATCGTACGCCAGCATAAATCAGAACGCTCAGACACCTTACCGGCCATATCCTGTGTATATTTTTATTCTGCATTAGGTGCCAAAATTTAAGTTATCGATATTATTAGAAAGATATATGAATATGTTCGTTTGTAGGTTTAAATGTCATAATTTTTTTTGTTGACGATAACTGGTGCCAAGATCGTTAATTTACATTAAATTGCGTATTTTCTGAGATTTTGCCTTAAACTTATTGGGGACGGAAAAAACGGAACCTTTGAGTTTGGCATGCGTTAAAATTGACCAGCCTTTGGAACTAAGCTGGTGCCAGTGTTTTACTGTACCATTTTGATATTTATTTAAACCAATCTAAATAAAAAATGGCACTGAACATGATAAACTTAATTTTTAATAAAGCGAGACTATAAAACATGCGTACAGTGACGTTATCGCTGCCCGTCCAAAATGTTTTTTTCTCTCTCTTGGACCTCTATTATTAGTATGGTAGAACGAACGAACGAAATCTCTAAATTGTTTTGACTACTTGCATACCTTTGACACCAATCCTTATCGTATAAAATAATTAGATTTTGGTATTTATTTTAATCAATATTGATTTTTCGGTGAAACAATAACTTAATATTAGTGAATGGGATATAACAATCCAAAACCTGAACGAAGTTATTATAAGTATATTTTGTATTAATATAAGCAGATTAAAAAAACTTACAAGTAAAAGAGATACAAGTTCCATATTCGAACTCGTGACTTAAACGATAACATCCCTTGACTTGACTCTCCTTGTTTTTAAAACTATTAAAATAACTAATTCAGCAATTAAGTGTTAATTATTTGAAAACAGTTATTTAGATAGAAAAGAAAGATAAAATGAAACAAATAGAACAAATAACATAAAAATTTAGCGTTAGAGCAAGTTTTTTGTGCTTAATATGACTGTTAAAACCATTATTCAATATTTCAACACTCGGCTTTCAAGTCCCATCGATATAATAGGCAGTAAGTAAGTTCTAATAATAATAAAGGCCTTTTATTATATATATAACGGTGGGGGCGGCATCCAACATATTATTATAGCATATAAATTACATACATATTCATTCAAAGTCGTAGACTTACATTCTGAAAAAAACATTTTCATATTTAAAAAAGGAAGAGATAGAAAAATAAATTAACACTATACATACATACAATTTGATACTTACTAGTTTTATGATCGATCTCTATTATAATAAATGTATTTTTTAAGTTTTTGTTTGAATGAAGTTAGTGAGGTGATTGATCTCAGTTGGAGCGGGGGGTTTGTTGTAAGTCTTGATAGCATTATACGTGAAACTGCCAAAGTATGTTTGGGAACGGTTAACAGCCCCTATGGAGAGTATTAACCGAATGAATACGTGAGGAGAGATATTACTTTTTTAATGTTAATGTCTAATGTTAGCCAACGAGAACCTGAGACAAGCGGAAGTAGGGCAGGCTAGTAAACTACCATACAGTATCAAATTGAGGATAGAAGTAAGGAATCGGTAAGTTTTAACTAAATTGCTATATCAAAAATGTCATTATTTTAATGGGGAATCCAAAGCTTGCAAAACGATTTCTGGATCAACGAAGCTAAATTTTGGCAGCGTCTAGATTGACTATTTTTTCTTTATCTTTATCAAAAATTATATGTTGTATCTTATTTTCGTTAAGTAACAGACTAACTTACAACAACAAACTAACTTACTAGAAACATCACTGAGGGCACATAAGTCACTGTTTATATTATTAACGACCGCATTAATTAATTAAAAGAGAGATATACTAAGAGGAACAATGCTTAATAAATTTACAGAAGTCGGAGGTATAAACGGAAAACAGCCTCGGACTTAAAATACTATCCTGTGCCGCGCCCTTGCGAAAATTTACATAACTGGAATAGCTGTTATTGAAGACTACTCTTTGACACCGATAAGAAAAGTAACTTTTGAAAAAACACACCAGCCCCCCACCAAAGTATTTCAGTTTAGTAAAGAGCAGGCGGTGATGCAGGGTGCCAAATGCTTTGCTATAATCAAGCAATATTAAGACCTACATCATTTCCCCGAAATATGTCGTTACAAACTTTTAAAGGCGTTTTATTTTTACCATGACCAGCCCTAAAGCCCGATTGCGTTGCCGAGTTATAAAATCTCCAAACTGCTTCTCAACGACTTTTTCTAGCTACTAAGTTGAGAGGTTTTAGCGACAGGAATGACGTTAGCGTACTTCTAGGGTTTAGGGAATTTGTTAGTAGACAAGCACTTACTAATAATATACGTAATATATGACAAAGTTGGGAGAGAACATAACCTAGCAAACCCATCAGACCCCACGGCATCACTTCTAATTTGATGTATTATTTTTCCTACTTCATTAGAGTTAACACTCGACAATGAAAATTTTTCTGGATTTAAAGAATTGTTGTTGTAGAAATGGTTAATGAATTTATGAAATTATTTAAGTCTGCTTAAGGTGTATTAACTTAACAAGATTTCTCAACTCTTTGATCTAAACCTGAACTAAAAATCAAAAGAAAGCAAGTTGGTACGCTTTAACCGAAGCCTGTGCAATACATCTGATGTGCGCCTTAACTCTCTAATAAATCGAAACGAAGACTTACTTTTTCCCTTAAACTTTGACTCCTGCCGATATACTGATTCCCGTCTGTGAATCCAGGTTTCAGAAACACCGGCTCGGTGTAGTTAAACTGATTAAGCGCGTCGTAGTCTATGAAACTTAAATCGTTGTAGCTGACGCAGTTGTCGCTCTCGACGAGAGATTGCAGTGACTGTCTCCACTCTTGATTTTTGATCTCAGTCAGTTTTTCCCTCGACGGCACTTTCTCCTTTTTCCTCACCTCTCGAAAACTCAACGATCGTTTCAAAAAGTTCGAAGAATCCTCGCCCATATGTACGATTTTTTTTATAAACGAATGAGTCTTCTGCAATTTACTCGAAGATTTCTGAGATAGTTCTAGAGCGGAAGCGTACTTCTTAGACTTGCCCAGGGTTCCGCCGTTAAACTCCGGAAGTTGATGGGAAAACGTGTCGTACGTTTCCGCGTCCTCCTCGAACTTCGCATCCTTGTTTTTGTGTCTTTCTTTCTTATGGAACAAATTGTTAAACGAGAGTTTCTTTTTCCGTTTCTCTTTTGTTTTCTTCTCGGAAAAGTCCAGAATATCCGGTGCGCGATTAACACTAATCACGCGTTCACTAACACTTCGTTTTAAGACACTCGCGTTCACGAAGTTGTTTCTACACTCTACGGGCAGAGGTTCCAAATCTTCGACGATTACTATCGAAGTCTTCCTATTATTTGCTCGGTTGTTCCTCTGTTCCACGGATACTTTATCTCGTGTCAATACTGTGGCACCCTCCGCCCTATCGACCGCCATGTCGCAAAGTTCACCGACCAGATTTCGGAAAAAAAACAAATTCGCCCCGTTTCGCGCACTGTCCGTCCGCGAAATTTTTGCAGCAACCGATCTTGAATTATTATCGTCGTAGACGTAGTTCAAGGGCATGTTTTTAATCCCCGTTATTATCCAGTTATTGTTCTCGCTAATCTCCCTCTGATCGATAATAATTTCGTCGGAATTTCGACGCAAATCCTCCAATACCATTTTACTGTGTGTGCTGGTTTTTTCACGTGCATGCCAGATTCCTTATGAGATATACCTAAAGTGCGAAATTTTGAAATCAACATGGGGAAATATCCATTTTTCAATAATATTTCGTTTGAGTGCGTAGTGATGATTGAAATTACAAGGTTTTTCAAATTCGATGGATTATTAGGTATCCAAAACAAAGATACTATGATAATTCCGGGAACAATAAAAAAAATGAACATTTTTGTCAGCTGTATCTATTAGCGACAAAAAGTTTTAGTGATCATCAAATTTCTTAAGGATTAAAAATATTATGCCCAATATCTAAATGCTGCCTGATCACTTATCTTCTTTGACAATAATGACAAATAAAACAAAGGCGGCAAGGTAACTTGAACACTTTAACGGTGTAGTTATACTTAATTAATACTTAAAATGGCATTTTTTGTGCATTATTGTATAAGTAACATACGAACTTAATATATGGATTTATATATCTTTGTACGTTAGTATTGATACGCGTTTAGAATGTCATTTATATGTCGAATCCACACAGTTTTTTTCTCTATTTTGTTTAATTGGCAAGCACCGGTGTATACACTCTCCAATATGCCACGTATATTATTCAAAATAAAACAATAAAAAGAAAATATTAATTTTCGCTGGCGCACTAAAAATGCAAAAATAATGTTCAATGTTCAACATAACGAGTTTGGTGATGACGAATGAAAGACGAATCGTGGAATTACCAACGTTTTAACATTATTGAATAGATACAAAAAAGTGCAACTGCAATGTTGCAAGTTATTTTAAAATTTATTCTCAAGAAAACTCAACTATTGTTCAAGATACCCAAAAATGTTTTTAAAACGGAGATTGTATTGTATTGAATTTTAAAATGGCCGTTAATTTCCGATTTTAATTTACCTACGGAACTTTCTATTGAGCTTTCACACAAACCCACCGAATATGAAGAACCCTATAAATTTTTTTCATCGCGCAATATGAAAATAAACTCAAGTACTGTCAAATATAAAACACAGTAAGCAGAATATCTTAATCGGTCTAAGTGACTGTTAGTTTGACAATTTCAAATAGCACTTTTCAAATTTTATACTTTATTAACGGTCTAACTACCTTTAGAGAAAGTGGTTTTCTTCAGTATTGCACAAATATCTTAGCACAAACTAACCAATTTACCAATAGTAGTGCAAAAATGGATTGCAGCCTAAGTTTCTCCAAGCATAAACCCGGGCGACTTACAACCATAGTTTTTATTTTAAATTTACTCACTGTTTGTGCATCCATTGGTAAAAATGGTCATACTCTAAAATGTTGGAAATACTTAATGACCTTCAAAATAAAGTCAAGCACATTGCTAGCTATTCCACGCAGAATCTAAACGTTCAGCAACAATATCAAATGTCTAGCTAAATAGTTTTCGTTTTTTCTTTGCAATGTAAAGAGTCTCTTTCCTTATCCGGAAAACCCTCAGAAAAATAATACAGAGAGTTAAATACCTATCTCTTTTTATTTTCTAATAATAGTTTTCGTTTCATAGTTCAATAACCATATATCAATGCAACCAATATATTTGAATGGAAACCGTAAAAGAGCAGGAGCCCATTTCACAGAGGTACAAGCCTCGTTGGCGACAATTATAATTTGTAAGAAAAAGAACAGCTCCTTATATGTTGTTTCTTGGCTATCCACACCTTTTTATACAATTTAATCTAGCAACATACGAGGTACTTCTGTAAATGCGAAAATATTTTAAAATATGTTCAAATCGATAAGCCCACAGTTTACTCCAATTTTCGAAATATAGTTTGTTGCCAACTAAAAGCGTTATATCGTTACCGCTTAAGTTATGATATGAATTCATAGCAAGTTACAAGTACTTAACTAGTAAAACTTATTGTTTGTAGTTTTATATTAATTGTTTAACTTATTTATTATTTATTTATGTCTGTTAAAACTTGCGATTTTTGTAAAACAGGCATCAGTGCAGGTCAAAATAACACATTCAGAGTAGCATAAGATGTGTTAATCGACCTTAATGAACTGGCTACCGTAAACTTGAATACATTTCTGCAAGTAACTCATGCGCGCAATTAATAAGGTATCATTATCGAGATCATTACCTATTGCACGATTACGCGCGTATTACATCAACGGGAAGTAAAATTGCAACATCAACATACTTTGTCTTACGTGTCCCGTCATTAAATTATAGAACTATGTAAAAAAAATCGTAATCGCAATTAAACGCAACAAAATGCGAATGCAAATCGTTTTTGATTCACTACACCCAAACAAACAAAAGTGAAAGGTAAATCGACCGACTATAATTTGTTTTTTAATTGAAAAAACTATTACGTTACAAATTGAGAGCAATCGATTGTTATTCCCCAAAATTTATATTGACACCCAAAAAGGCATAATTAAATTTGGATTTGAATTTTGAAAGGGGAATGAGAATCAGTGCCTTAAAACAAATATATGTGTATATCAGTGAAAATGTTTCGAAACATAGTCAAAACAATGTCAAAACAATATAGTCTATTCAGAGACACAATATTAGATGTTATATAAAAAAAATCGTATGCCTTCTTCTTTAACTTTTCACAGTCATCGGTTTAAATAGCAAAAGTTATACAAAAAATTTATTTAAATTTACAAATAGAGTTCGAATTTACTCGAGTACTCCCCAAATTCTACAACATTAGCGAAAATGTACCATTTTTTATGCTCCAATACTTCATAGGTAAAACTATACTCTTTTTTATAACCGTAAAGTCATTATTTTTCGAGGTGGCGTCATGAAACCGTAAACCGTATATTAATAAAAATGTATTGGGTTATTTATTGCAATTTGCTCCAACGGTTATGATGCTTTAAACATTTAAAGATAAATTGTGGTTAACTTTGGTTAGGTGGATTGGCCATTATATTGGAAAGGATGAAATAAATCTATTTCCCAAATTTTCCTAAACTTTTAAGCCAAAGCATGTAATAATTAAGAATAAAATAGTATTTTGTCAACTTCAACAACTACCAAAAAATGTTGACGATATTTGGCATATTCAGACAATATATATTAGAACTTAGCTATAGGGCCTATTTAAACTCTTGAAAATGTTGAAAACTATAACAACTTTTAACTTTGTGTTTGTGTCTATATCATTAGACATTTTATTTCATTCATTTTGAGTTCATTATTAATAAGCAATGAATAATTAAAAATATCAAACTCTCAAAAATATACAATTGCTTAATCAAATTTGGATTAGAAACTCTCAAAAATTTCTAACCAAAGCTTAGTTGATTTTTTATACTAATTTCTGAATCAACAAAAAACTGATCAAAAAGTAGCAAAAAACAGTCCACCACTTTTTGTAACAGGTCTTTTTTCCCGTAGCATTCGTAAAGCCTCACAACGTTGATTAAAAAAACAGTGTTCCGCTACCACTTCCGACCAAAGGCAATAATACTCTTTTTTTGTTCCAATCAAAAATTGCTGTTCGAATCCTGAGGGACTGGGAAATGATAGAAGTTTTAGGTTGTTCGATAAATTTGCTTTTTTCCTTGAAGTATGCCCCAGCCGTGATTATCAGCTTCGCGAAAATAATTATAGTTTGATACAGCAATGAGTTTTTACCCGTGGTTTTACTTTTTTCGTTCGAAATTCAGCTAATTTTGTTAGACACTTACTGGCAGCAAAAATTGGTCATAAAAACTTCATTCAATTTCAAAGATGGCTTCTTCGTAAGCTGCTCTTTTGATTTTCATCAGATTGTAGATCGATTCCTCAATAACCATTAGCGTTGTGGAATTGACCGATCAAATTTTTTTGTGTCCTCAAATGACCGAATAATTTTAAAAATACAATGAACTAATATTTATTTATTTACATATAAGTATCGTATTCGGGTATTCCTTGAAGGTAAATCGGAGATTACAAACGCATAGTATTAAATTATGATAAAATATTTAACATTAAATAATGATAGATAACAACCTACAGCAAGATGGTATTTAAAACATGTGGATCGAATTTGACTAGACAATTAAGAAGTGGTCAATTGACCAGCCACAAAACTAGTAACAATGCAATGTGAGAAATTTTTATTCAGAAAGTTTGGCATCCCTGTAGAATGCAACAGCAGTGGCTCCAATTGTCAACTGACATCACTATCTCCCTTTTTGTATTCAAAGCGAACCCCTCGGGATAAGATGCGAAAACACAACAAATGAATACCGAATATCAAATCAATATCAATTTAGAAGAAAATAAGGATTTAAAGAATGAAAACATCTTAAGGACTTCCTTAATAAGGTATGCAAATGAGAGAAGGAAACACATTGCACCAGAAGTTTTTGATGCCATTCCATAAGACTTTGTTACAAACCTTATCGATAAAGTCGCTATAGATAGTAGACATATAGACACTCTACCTACGCGGACGGTAAAGGAACTCATGAAGCACTATGTAAAAATTTTCTGAAAAGGTCCGTTCGACGTGCGCATGCGCGAGATGTAAAATATCGTTTTTAACCAATGCCACCTCTAATGACAAATTCTGACGTAGAACTCATAAGAAGTTGCGGCTTTCAACAAACAACATGGCCGATGACAGATTGTCGATGTTTACATGCGCCATTTTTACGGCAGTATTTTCTCAAAATATGTCGAAATCCTATTAAATTTTCAGGCAAAAAAAGGAATTAAGGCCTGGAAAAGCAGTGCAGAATTGTAACACCCACGTCGGCGTCAGTCAATTGTCAAGAGATATGTCTTATGCTTGTTCCAGTAAAAATTAAAGTAGTAGCTTAATTGCTTTCTGATTTTTTCTGTATTTCTTGTATACTAAAACATATAACCCCAAAATCGTTCATAGCTATTTAAGTGTACCTAAACATGTAGGGAATTCTGCTTAATAAATTCCCACGTAAATATTTGTCTAAGTCTATTTTCCAGTTTGTAAATGTCAAATATATAGGCATCAATTCTTCTCTAAGATCCTATTAAATCCTCATATTTGCCACATTTGCTGTAATTTCGTAAAA